TGAGTCCCGCCTGGGCCAGTTGGTGTTTCTGTGTGGGGTTTGCATGTTATCCCCGTGTTGGCGTGGGTTTCCTCCATGTGCTCCAGTTTCCCCCACAGTCCAAACACATGGGGCTCTATTTTGACGGTCCATGCACAGAGCCCAAAACGCATTGCGCAAACGCTTTCAGGGCGTGTCAGAACGCATTTTTGCTAATTTAAGGACTGGAAAATCCGCTTTGCGCCGTGGCGCATGGTCTAAAAGGGTTGAGTTTATTTTCTTAATGAGTTATAGGTGTGTTTTGAGAATAAACCAATTAGAGTCTCATCTCCCATTCCCTTTAAGAGTCATCTGCATCGCGCCAAGAGCGCATTCGCTATTTACAGGACGCAAAGTAAGTCTAAGTGGAAAAACTGAGCATTTCACTAGCAAACAGTTAACAGCTAACAGTTTTTTACAGAAAACTGTTAAACAGAGCATCTACTGCGTGAGAATGAGAGATAATGGATCTACTTTCACTTTCTCTCTTGGATAGGGAAACCTTTACGCACAGACATCAATTAGTCTATAAATAAATACTTTTGTTTGTTAAGCGCAAATATTCGTTTCAAAACTATTTCTAAATTCTGTTCTAATTTCCAGCAAACGAATAAATGAACAATAATAACGAAGTGTGCTCAAAAACCTGAGTTACATCCTAAAACACATGCTGTGCCCCATATGGTCTAAAACCTGACAGGTGGGCAAATCTAAGCTTGTTTTTAATAAAACAAGTATAAATATGGATATAATAAATAATACTGATAATAATAGTAACATTACACAAAAGCAAATTGTTATGAATGAACTGAAAAAGCCTCCCGAGATGAAGAAGACATAAAAGCAGTGATTTTTCATATTTATGTAGGCTAGAAAATAATATGTTTTATAATATTTTAATCCTTTATATTTATATTCTATATCTATCCTTATCATATCCTATATATATTCTTAATATTTAAATTTTTTCATATGTAAAGAGATTTGGCCATTGCTCTCTTGTGTGTATTAAGCAGTGTGTAAGCGAGGCGCAACTCTGCGCCGGAGTTTAGACCGGGTTTGTTTTGGTCTAATGAAAAATTTATTTTAGTTTGTCAAAATAGCAACGCGCCTGCAGTGCGCCTCAGAACGCCTTCCTTTTTAGACCAGAACGCCTATGGGCGCACAAATGAGCGCTAATGCATTTGCTATTTAAACAGTGTAGCGCAACGCCTCAAAACGACTCTTGCGCCAAGCTGAAACTAGAAAAAGACTATTGCGCTGTTTCTTGCGCCACATTGCGCCGGGTGTATGATAGGGCCCATGTGCTTTAGAGGAATTGAGGAAACTAAATTGGTCGTACTGTATTGGAGTGTGTGTGGATGTTTCTCAGATGATGGGTTGCTGCTGGTAGGGCATCCCCTGTGTAAAACATATGCTTGAATAGTTGGCAATTCATTCCGCTGTGGCGACCTCTGAAATAGTCGAAGAGTATTAATTAATTCTTAAAGTTGTTGATGAATTAAATAAAAATTAATTTCAGTACATTGTAAACAATGCAGAGTTCTAGACATTTTATTCATATCGTCCCATCACAAATCAATTACAGTAAGTTAATTTAACTAATTTAAATGGATTGAACATAAACAAATAAGTTGTTCCCAAATTATCTCAATAATTGAGTGTTGTTTCAGCTTATTTTAAATAAGTAGTTTAAACAAGAAACAATAAGTTACAATAAAATTTAATAGGATTATTTAACTTTACCCTTGTGCATTGTTTTTTTTCTTTCTTTCTTTTTCTTTGCATTTTATTATTTCACCCTCCATTTTCTGTATACATCTATTTGACATTTGGATAAAAATATGAAAAATCATCAAAATATTCATATTCTGTGTAAACAGATTCTTATTTCACTGGCAAACCATCAACATTTTTTATATTTTTAACACTACATTGAGTATTTTGGTGAATTTTATTTTATTTTATTTTTTTCAAATCTAAACTATGAAACAAATAATCCCTTATCCTGCTTTTTGCTTCAAAGCACTGTAGGATAAAATAATTTAAAATATGTAATTTTATTGTGTGGGTGTGTTTTTGTACTTGCATATACTGAGAAATGTATATAAAGGCCCAATCCCAATTCTACTTTTGTACCCCTACCCCTTCCCCTTGGCCCTTAAAACTGAGTGTGAAGGGGAAGGGCTTAAACATTTATGCTGCGTTCACACCAGACGCGGAACGCGTGTCAAGTGCGAGTGATTTACATGTTAAGTCAATGCAAATGCGTGAATAGACATCGACGTGAATTGCACAAATGTAGCAGTGCGAATGGCGCGATACACGCAAATGGCTCGGCGCGAATTGAGCGTTTCGCGCGAATCACTTGAGTTCGAAAATCTGAACTTCAGCGGACATTCACGCTGCGTTAACCAATCAGGAGCTTGCTCTTGTGGGGGGCGTGATTGTGACGTATTTTAACTGGGCTTGGCTCAGTCAGAAGCACCGCTGAAAGCCTCCGTCATCCAGGTTCATTTTCTGGAGGAGTTTATGAGCTCACAGAGCTGGATGCACCTCTGAAAGGATTTAGTAGACTCAGACACGACCCCAAACATGTCGATGCTGTTTTTCAGCCTTTATAAAGCACATAAACAGTTATTTTATCAATAAAATCCATGTTAGCCATTTAGCTATGAAGCTAGAGTCACCGGGCAGACAAAAGCCCTGCCCTTCACGTGAGTCCGCGTCTGTTCTGAAGTGAATTTGATGCTCGAATGAAGCGGATTTGACCCGCGAATGAAGCGAGTAAACTCAAATGTTCACGTGGCTATTTACGCGCGAACAGCGTGATTTATCCGCGCGTTCCGCGTCTGGTGTGAACACAGCATGAGAAATGGGACAGCACTACAGCACCTGCACACGTTATCATATGTCATTGCGAAATGAGATCAGACAACCGCGACTGCTGTAGTTATTCCAGTTGCGTTATTTATTGGTATTTATCTTCAAGAAATCACTGAAGGCAATGATATCATGTTGTCAACAATCTAATGTGGCAATAAGATCATAACTGTACTGTACATTTACACTGTGGCCATAATTATCTATGTAAACACACCAAAAACACCATTACCATTATAGCAGACACTGTAAAAAGCTCATTCCCAGCCACTGAACTTCATCGAGTCATCGAGTGTCAGAACGTTGTGGGACGGCTGTACAGGAGTTATTATTATGGAGTATAGATCGCGAAATTTAGCGGTTTTTATTTTAGCGTTGTTGTTTTTTTAAGCATGACAGTAAAACACGAATGCTGTTGTGAGTAAATTAAAACATGTCGTTGTTTGTTGTAAAAATTTGTAATAAAGACAAAAATATACTAATTTGTGGATCTCCTGACTTCCGGGTGCAGCTATCCTGCCGTTGTGGTTGGTGTATTCTGGAAACATTTTCTTACCCCGTGGTTTTGAGTGTGATCTTGAAAAATCTCAGTTCGAAGGGCTATTCACCCCTTCCTTTTAGCCCTACGCCTTCAAGCTAAAGAGAAGTGGAACACCCTTATTAACGGCAATACGCAAAACGAGGGGTAGGGGTAAGAGGAAGAGCTAAGGCGTAGAATTGGTATTGGGCCAAAGTATGTGTATTGTCAATGTGTACATTTTATTTTGTGACCCTGCACAATTACTTCTGATCATTGACTTACATAAGTCTGCCATTATGTAAACAAACTGCAATTTTAAAGTATTAGTCCTTAAAATAAAATATTGTTTATAGTAGTTATTATGCTGGTGAAGAACTTATGTGGCAGTAAAAATGTGGTGCAAAAAGATGCAGATGATTCTTGACAGCAGTTTTTGACCTCTGTGAACCTTTGTGTAACTTTCTAAAATTGATGTTAATGGATTAAAAATGACATTATTTAAATGCAAATGTTCCATGTTTTAGCTTAAAAATGTGCCACAGTCATACTTTTCACAGACTCCTGGTTTAAGAGCTGCATCAGTGAAGTGATTGCTTGTGATGTACTGTTAATGAATTATAAAAATATGTATTATTTTTGGGCCGGGGGTTTACATTTTCCCAGGTTTGTGCCAATGACTAAAATACATGGACAATGCGACGCCGTTGTTTCCCATTGAACACTTTCACAAAAGACTGCTGAATTTGGAGCCTCGGCATGCGCAGAACGAACTACCTGATCTCCTCCTGAAGTTCCGACGGTCTGCTTGGAGAAATTGTCAATGACAACTGTCAATCATGATGACACACCCAGTTTTTATAACATTAAATTACTGTCTAAATGCATACTCTTTACAAAAATGAAAATCTGCACCTATATTTAATTGACCAAAACCATCTTTCGGGACATTTTATTGCAAGTGTAATTCATTTTTTTTTATTTGGGCTCAAGTCTCATTCATTAACACTGAGGAGGTGGGCTTTATGACTTGTACTGCAGCCAGCCCCCAGGGGGCGATCTAACGGGTAATACCTTTACTCAAAAGCAGGCATGTGCCACACTTGGGCTGTGCACGCAACAAATGGGCAGGGCTTGAGTTACATATCGACATCACGCCGACACAGCAGCGATTCATTCGAACCACTACGAGTCGACTCTTTTACAGATGAATTTATAGTTTTAAACAAGGTGTACTTTTAGATTTAAGCCTTAGCTGGATATTTTTACTGTACTTGGAGCTGTGTTACACTCTACATAGAAGGTCATTTTCAAAATCTTATATTTTTTTGGGCTCTTTAAGTTCTTTACCCCCTCACATGTGTGTCCGCATTTACTAACCCCATACTTTTGTAACCTTCACATGTGATTTTGTACATTTTATCTACTAATTTGTACCTTTTTAGGCCCAAATGTGAACTTGATAACTACAAAAATGTATCTTGTAGCACTCCAGTGACAGGTTCTGTACTTTTTTTTTTTTTTTTTGGAGGGTGCAGGTGCAGAGTTTGTTCCATGACCCGTCTCTGTTTGTCCTCCTCAGGTAATGCTTGTCAGAGTGGCCTAGTGCCAGCGCTGGTTCGAGCTCCTCTTCCCGCTGTGCCCTCCTCTTTGGGCATGAAGCACTTTGTCCCTTTTGCTTTGGATGGCGGCTCTGCGCTCAGCCTCATTCCCAGCTTCAGCAGCGTAAGTCACACAAACACACACACACACACACACACTTTCTCTCGAAGTGCTAATGAGCTTCACTCTGTTCTCGGGGTCCGCCGGGGTTTCGAGAGAGCGTCGCTTCTGATAATTGTCATCCGAGTTCTGCTTGTTCTGGGACTGCAGCCTGTGGAGCGGTTTCACAATGCATTGTGAAGATGCAACACCAGCTGTTGTTATGAGCACAGGTTGTGAACTTCTAATCCTATAAACATCGACTTCATATATCGTCATTTGGAAGTGCGACATTATGTGTTGATCTAGCATACAAATAACAACTGGTGCTAAAAGAAAAGGAGGCTACTTGTTGATTTGAAGGTGCTGTATGTATGTTTCTGTCATTTCTAAAGTATCATATCATAGTATTTTTGCAGATAATTGAGAAATGTGAACATATTTGTTTATCTGAAAAAGAAAGTCCTTACCTCTGGTGGAGGAGTTCAAGTTTCTTGGGGTTTTGTTTTTCAGTCTTTTCAGTGTTTTTCCTACCTAGGGAGGTGTTTCAGGCATGTCCCACTGGTAGGAGGCATTGGGGATCACCCAGGACATGCTAAAGGGACTATGTCTCTCGGGAATGCCTCGGGATCCCCCCGGGGGTGTCTGGCGAGAGGGACGTCTGGGGTTCTTTCCTGAGACTGCTGCCCCCGCAACCCGGCCCTGGAAAAACGGCAGAAAATGAATGAACGAAAAAGATATGCTAAATGCTGAAGTCAGATATTCTGCTTTGAGAATGTGTGACTTTGGTTTAGTCTGTGTAACTCCGCCCACTGCCGGTTTCTGCTGTTATATTTTTACACACCAGGTTGCCTTGGTGGAAATCACATCATTTTTTGTTTCAGTCATGAAGGCTGGAGAGATATATGTGGACGTGATGTGAAGTTTATTTATAAACTAATCTTGATAGAATCACATGCTTATGATTGACCACAGCTGGTTCTGCATTAGCTAACAGATGATTCACCAATCAGACGAATCCAAATATAAATAATCAGAGTTTCTCACCTTCGTTATCTTCGTCTAGAAGAATTCCCCCATGCCCCCTACTCTTACTGTACTTTTCCTACATAGGCGGCCTGGCGACTCAGTGGTTTTGTGACTCTGAAATTAACAGGCGACTCTGTGCGGAGTTTACATGTTCTTCCCATTTTTGCGTGGGGTTCCCTGGTTTCCCCCACAGTCCAAAGACATGCAACAGAAGTGAATTGACTAAACCGAATTGCTACTATAGTTGAGCTGTTAGTCAGGCTACTACTCATGCCTTCAGTCAGCCGTTTATCTCTCCATAGCAATCTCTATAATCTGTCCTAAGCCCTAACTAAGCCCTAACTAAACCAGTGGTTCTTTAGACCCACTGAGCTCAGACTTTCCTCTCATCCTTCAAACCGGGGGGATTAGGGGAGGCAGTGATTGGGTTAGTCGGTGCTTTTGAAAACACTATCGGTTGGGTTTAGAGAAGGGGGTGGGTGGGGTTATCAGTCAGGCAGTCAGTGGACAGTGGTCTCTGGTGGATTTACTCAAGAACCGCAGGTGCGAATGACACTTGTGAGATAAATTTGAGGTGTTAAAAAGCGTACACAGTAGCGTGTGATGAATTTGCGAAAACTAAAATTGCAAAAAACTAAAGCTCTTGGGACGTTTTTCTAGTTCTCCAGAAATGTATACAGGGGTACATATCAATAATGAGCCTGGGTTGGGTATATATATCCCAGCGAGCACCCTGATGTCAAATTGACATTATAAACATAATGCAAATCTATTTGATGTCAAAACCTGTATGCCGATTTAACATTCACGATCATTACATGTTTTTGTGTTGCAAAACTCACAGCTTCTTTGTTTGTTGGAAGATTGGTTAACATCACTACAACCTTGTAAACAACACCACAAATTCTCTCACTCTCTCGATCAATTCCTAATTCAATGAAATGCTCTAATTCATTTAAAGGTTCCCTGAAGTGCCTTGAACGTGCAGCTTTGTTCGATCTGTAATGCAATTTCAACTGAAACATAAAGATAGTATGGGACATATCAGATGGTTCCTCCACATTTTTTAAATAACAAGCTAATGGCATTTATTTATATCACAGCTCTGCCAGTCTAACTCTTAAGATCCTCATTAGATTCACTAGAGCTCTATAGTCTATATTGGCATAATATAGCAACATCATTTTAAATTATTCTGATGTTTTGTGGTGGGGACGTAGTGGCGCAGTAGCTAGTGCTGTCGCCTCACAGCAAGAAGCTGGTTTGAGCCTTGGCTGGGCCAGTTGGCATTTCTGTGTGGAGTTTGCATGTTCTCCCCGCGTTCGCGTGGGTTTCCTCCAGGTGCTCCGGTTTCCCTCACAGTCCAAAGACATGCGGTACAGGTAATTGTCCATAGTGTATGAGTATGAATGAGTGTGTATGGATGTTTCCCAGAAATGGGTTGCAGCTGGAAGGGCATCCGCTGCGTAAAACATGTGCTGGATAAGTTAGCGGTTCATTCCGCTGTGGTGACCCTGGATTAATAAAGAGACTAAGCTGAAAAGAAAACGAATGAATGAATGAATAAATCAATGAATGTTTTGTGGTCTGTGCGACACATGCATATGATCCTCTTTGTGTTGTCATATCTCTGGACCAAAGGGAAGCTGTGTATGCGTCTCTGCAGCAGTTAGGAAAGCAGTCTTCATTCAAACCAAAGGAAAGCAGATTTTCTCTGTCTGAATGGTGTATACAGTGCACTGTGTGCCATTCACCATATAGAAAAGTGTCATCTTGAATGTCCTAGGTGCCTCTATGCTGACTGTGTACATGTGCAATCCATTTTCCCTCAGGTTGTAGATGTCACAGTGTCATCTACCGTTTATAATTTTCATATATATGCAAAATTTTAGGCTGAAACCCTAAATCGAATGCTGTGTTGCATGTGAATAAGTTTACAGTTTTAAGTTGCGTCTTATAGATCTTTTTGCGTCTTATAAAACTTTTTTAGTAACTAATTCTCTTTAGATTATAAGTAGACTGTCAACTTGGGATAAGGGTTATTGTAAATTGACATGTACCTGCAAAGTTTCTTATAGTCAGTTAAATGTCTGTTGAATGTCAGTATCAAAAAATATTAAGCAGACAGTCTACTAATACTCAAATGGACCATCAAAATAAAGTGTTACTCTTTTTTTCTTCATAGGGTCCAACAAATGTCCCCACAAGGTCAAAATTGACTGGTATTGCTATACTTGTGGGGACATTTAGTCTCCACAATAGAAGAAATACAAGATACACACACAATCAAGTTGGTATTGGTGGTTTATGATGACTCCATAAACGTAGTTTATTTTATAGTGTAAAAACCACTTAACTAATACCCACCCCTAAAACCAACCCTTACATGTAAAATTTTGAATGTCAAAAGACTCTTTTAAGTACACTATGATTTTTAGGTGTTTTAAGTACGAGGACACATGTCATGTTCTTGTATACCTCCTTAATAAAGTACAAAAAGGTCATTCCATGTCATTACACAATTTTGTGTCCCCATACACACACACACACACACACACACACACACACACACACACACACACACACACACACACACACACTGCACTCACTGTAAAACAAATGCAGGATTCCACTAATGATTCAGCCCAGGTTCATTCTGATTATGCACCCATATAATGATTTCTAGAGAGTGCCAAATGTCCCAGGAGGCAAGTATTTTTTTTTTACAGTTTTTGTGAATCCACTAGAAGTCACTGTGTACAATTTTTCAGATCTCAAATTTCTCTCGCGAGTGCCATTCGCAGCTGCTTTTCTCACGTAAATCCACCAGAAGCCGCTGTTAACTGACTGACTGACTGACTGACTGACTGACGGAGTCTGCCGTCAAACTGAAAACAAAAGTAAAACAATGTGTCCGGGCCCGGTCCACTCTTGGCTTCCTCTGCCATCGTTCCTCCTCTTTTAGTCCAGAGCTTCTTCTGTGGGATTCGAGGCTGGTGCGCGTTACAGGTGTATCACTTACGCGGTGGCCTCATTCCTTTCCCACGGCTCTTAACCCCGCCCCGTTGCCACACCAACCGATAGTGTTTTCAAAAGCAATCCAGAAAAAGAAAAGCCCTTGCCTGATTTTTACCACATTTTCAGATTTTACCACACTCTCACCCTGTTGTTTACTTGTTTGTTTTATTATTTTATTATTTTGGTTTCTGTTTTTGTCTTATCTGCTTTCTGGAACCATTTTTTGCCGGATTTAACCCAATCGTCACATTCAACTCCGCTCTGTGTCTCAAATCCTCTGACATACGCTTATAGTAATAACTCAAATCCACCACCCCGTAGCTTTCGTTTAAAAGACGACCTACTTTCCTCTGGCTGCACTGGAAAAAATAAATCCGTAAAATTTACGGTAAAAAAAACGGCAGCTGTGGTTGTCAGTAATTTACCGTTAAAAACACGGTACAAACCTTAAAAAGAATTTTTATGGTAAATTACTGTATTTTAATAATTTATAGAGGTAATGTGTCTGTATTTTGAATGATCAACATCTACACATCTTTTGTTGCACATTTAGACACATTAGCACACCCACATTCAGGTGGTGATGAGAAAGTTACATAATGAGCCAATGCTCATCACAATCAACTTCTCCCACAAGCAGAAAAGAGGATCAGCATGTAGAAGGTGCTCAGTGTCATCCACACAGCTACTAAACACCAGTATGGTAACACGCATAAAATTAAAGTCATGAAATAAACATCGTTTATCAACATTAGATGTAGCATAAATCTCTAATGTACATAACTGATGGGGAAACAACTAAAAAGATCCATAATAATGTCAACCAAATGCATATAAAGTTATGTGCCATGCAGGGAATTCTGGGAAAGTCAATTTACGGTTATTCGCCGTATATATTAGGGAAACATACCGTTAACCAGGTTACAGATTTGTACTGTAGCATTTTTACAGTTTTTTACTGTTGAAATCACGGCCAT